AGGTACGGAAGAGGGATTGTTCCACGTAACCTACAAAGAGGCAGGCGTAGCTTGGGCCCATGCGGGTACCCATGGCTACCCCCTTTGTCTGTAGGAAGTGGGAGGAATTGAAAGAGAAGTTGTTGAGTGTGAGGACGAGTTCGGCTAAGCGGATGAGGGTGTCAGTGGAGGGGGACTGGTCGGGCCTGCGGGACAGGAAGAAGCGGAGGGCCTTAAGGCCATCTGCATGGGGAATGCAGGTGTAGAGGGACTGGACGTCCATGGTAAAGATGAGGTGTTGGGGATCGGGGAATTGGAAGTTCTGGAGGAGGTGGAGGGCGTGGGTGGTGTCACGGACATAGGTAGGGAGTTCCTGGACCAAGGGGGAGAAAATGGAGTCAAGATAGTTGGAGATCAGTTCGGTGGGGCAGGAGCAGGCGGAGACAATGGGTCGACCAGGGCATTCAGGTTTGTGGATTTTGGGAAGGAGATAGAAGTCATTTTTGGAATGGCAGGCTGTGACTGGTTGGATGTCATGGGGATCAGTGCTTAATCCCCCTCTGATCCCAAGTTGGATCAATGATTTGGATGTGGGGATCAAATGTTGTGTTATTAGACTTATAGATCTAGATCCAGGGTACAGAGTCTCAGAATAAGGGACAGGACTTTAGGACTGAGATGAGGAGAGATTCCTTCACTCTGACGTTGGTGAATCTTTGGAATTTTTGTGCTCCAGAGGATCATGTAGACTCAGTCATTAAGTATGTTTAAACTAAAGATCAATAGATTTCTACTAATTAAAAACATCAAAGTGTATGGAGTTGTGCATGAAAATTATGTTGAAGTAGATCAGCCATGATCTAATTGAATGGCAAGGTGGGCTATACTGCTCCTATTTCTTATGTTCTGTCTGTGATATCTTTTACCCTTGCACTTAGGTAGGTTCAACACTGTGCAGAATTCACAATGACAGTTACAGATCAAATTGCCTGTCTGTCCCTCTAACTATGGAATCTATCTTCAACAACAATTCATATTTATATAGGATCTTAATAAAATGTCCCAGGTGCTTCACAGAAGCATCATAAAGAAATATCAGACAGCGAGGCATATAAAATAGACAGATGAACTAAAACGGAGAGGTTTTCAGGTTCAGTCTGAAAGCAAGAGGCAGTAGGGCCTAGGCAGCTGAAGGCAAGGTGGAGTAATTAAAATTTTTTGGTTTGAGAATCCAGAATTTGAGAAACATGGATATCTCCAAAATGTTGTGAGGTTGAAAATGATTACACAGAGAAGGAGGACACATGGTTGTGACAGGATTTTAAGACCAGGCTTAATTCTTTTAAAATCAAAGGCAATGCTTAACTAGACAAGTCTGACATTAAAAGGTCCATTTTCATAGTCCTCGCTGTTCCAGATCGTCATTTCCAGTTTGTTAAGTTGAATTACACCTCGTGGAAAGTGAACACAATGATTAATATCTAAATTCTATCAATGAACCACAGTATTTCTCGAATTTGCACAAATAGTCACAACCCATGAGACTGCTAAGATTAAGTCCAACTACGGGACTTGTATTTTGAATTATGCGGTTGCATTTTGAGGAGGAATGGTCTGAGTGCTGCCGAGACCCGTAGTCAGTCAGTGGCACCATGTCGGAGGGAAGCTCGGAAAGTTCCTCACAGAGAGTGACCGTGGCTGACGTACAGCAGCTGGTGAAGAAGAAAGATGCCATCGAGGCTCAGATCAAAGCTTACTACGATATTTTGGAGGGGGTGAGTAGTAGAAGGCTGCCTTGGTTGTACAACGCCATCAGTTCTCAGTGCTGGGGCTGTAAGGCGGCAGCCCCTGTGCTAGGCTTTAGCAGTAATTGTCTACAATGTGCTGGTTGTACTTCACACAAACACAAACTCCTCAAACCAACAAAAACGCGGACAGCTTTTCCGAAAAAAGGAACAACAACCTCCAACTGAAGAACGTCCCTGGCTTAGGCAGTTGCTTCAACAAGGAGTGAATGGGCGAAATTTCTTCCTTAACGACATTCAGGTTTCAGTATTTTGTTTTAATAATTAGTGTTATTCCTCTGCATTTTGGGAAGGTATGAGCCTTTCCAATTCATGTCAGTAGCGAAGTTTGGAAAGCAGGTGATTGAGGGACTACAGTTGATCAGTGACACACTCTCTTCATGTTGTTTGTTATTGTTTCTCGATGGATTATCATCCATTTTTGCACCATACTTTTATGAGAGAGGGCAGGATGGAGTCATACACTTGCCGTGGTGGAAGCTGTGTGTTTTGAACACATTGGGTGGGGGATTTTTTTCCTCATCATCTGATGATGCTTCACTTGAACATGTCAAAGAAAGGCTGCATTATTTTCCAGGCATATGGTTCACCCAGCACACTAAGTATTATGGGAATCAAGGGGTATGCCTGAAGTAAATAGTGCTTTGCGTATGAATTGCTGGGAGGGAGGAAAGCTGAGGCACTCATTTTCTCTATTAAACCTGGCCAGCAGCAAAACAAATTGTAACTCTCTGCAAAAGTTAGTGAGTTACTAACTATTTAAACAATCCCTGAGTCATTTATTTTCAACGTAACAGCATGAACGGAAGCTGGAAATATGATTGCCTACACCAAATCGAACAGTTGACATATCATCAATGATGTTTTGACAGTTGAGATGTTATGGTGCTTATTCATCTAATTTTGCACTCTGATGTTCAGCCCATCACTCTATCAGCCATGATTAGGTGAACCAGTGGACATTTAAATTCTAGACCCAGGCTAAGAAGTGGCACTAGAGAATTTAATGAGGCTAATCGCTGTATCTAATGGCCTATATCTTTATAGATTTCAGAGAGTTGCTGAGATAGTGGATGCATTGATTTTGATTTTCTAGAATTGTTTAGTTTCTAGACAGTTCCCAAAAATTTGAAGATTGCAAACATAATCAGCTCTGTAAAATAGGAGAAAGTCCCCAGTTTTCCCTCTATCAACCAGTTAGCCTAACACAAGTAGAAGGCAAAATAATAATATATTCTATTGTTAGAGATGTGGTAACAGGGCACTTAGGAAATCCTACTGTGATTAAAATGAGTCAGTCAATCTAGAAAAGGGTAATTGTCTTTGTCAAATATGTTAAGTGTTCCTTGAGGATGTAACCGGGAAGGTGGATAAGGGAGAACCAGTAAGTGTAGTGAACGTGGATCTTCAAAACACATTTGATAATGTGTTACACTAGGGGTTATTGCAAAAAATTAGAAGTCATGACTGGGTGTAATATTAGCGTGGGTTAAGGATTTGTTAATAGACAAAAACAGGAACAAATGGCACATTACGTTGGAGTGTTGTAACTAATAGGATAATTTTTTAAAAATAATCAGCACTTGGGTCTCAGCTATTTACAAGCCAGATTTTAATAAGTTGGGTGAGGGGAGTGGGTATAATGGAAGTAAGTTTGTGGACTGTACGCAATTATAGTTTGGGAAGAAAGTGGTGAGAAGGATACAAGGCAGCTACAGAGGGAGAAAATCATGTTGGGTGAGTGGAAAAGAGCCTGGCAGACTGAATACAAAGTGGCAAAGCATAAGTGTATCTTCTTAGGTAGCAAGTAAAAAATATTTTTCAAATGGAGAAATGCTGGGAAATGTTTACATTCAGAGAGACCTAGTGTCCTTGTACGTCAATCACAGAAAGTTAACATGAATATACAGCAAGCAATTAGGAAGGCAAATGGTATGTTATAAAGTACAAAATTTTTTAAGGGTTCTGAGATTTGAGAGGACCACCCTTTTGGTTTTTGAGAGCTATGGTTTGGTTTTCAAAGATTCCTTTTTCATTCTCACTAACTCATTTGCTAGGTGATGCAGTCACATAGTTACAAAACTTGTAGCATTGGTATTGATTGTATAGGGTATTTGGAGTGTCTCAAGCAGAATTAGAAGAATTCATTGATACCGTCAAATTATCTCTAGTAAACCTAAAGACAAATGTGCAAAGAAATTATTAATTTCCAAGACCCTACAGCATTTACATTGGCACAATATAATAGGCATTAGCAAACATGTTGTTTTCCAAAGTAACTGAGATTTTTACATTCAAAATGTCATCACCCTAGTGCCTATCAATCCACGTACAAAGCTGGAAGATTTTAACCAGGCAGTTAATAGTCTTTTTACTACATCTCAGTTCTCACTTTCACATTCAGTGCACTTTTACCCAATATAGTAACTTCTGAGTTTCTGTAGCAGTAAACTAGATTCCAAGTTCATTTGTAGGAAATTCATTACCTCAGTAATTTCAAGTTTCCCTGGCTGAGCATTTCTTTGTTCACAAGTCAAAAACTGTTCTTTCTCCCTTGCAATCTCCCTGTCCCCGTCTCCTTCTTGCAGTCTCACCCTGACCCCTCTTGAAACCCCAGTTGCTGCCTCACTATTGCCATGTATTTTCCTATTCCTCCAACCACAGACTGTTTCTCTCCAACGTTGCTTCCGATAGGTTCATGAGTGAATTGGGAGTGGTTTTCCTCTTGTTGCCCCTGTGGCTGAATTTTCCTAGGTGTTTTGGGATTTCACCTGTTATCCCTCCTGTGTTTTAAGACCTGGTATGTTACCTTTTGGCACAGTGATTAGAGCTTAAGCGTAAAGAAGCCTTACCATGATTATACAGGGCATTATTGAGCCACATCTGGCGACCACATTTGGTCACCTTATCTAAGGAAGAACATCCTTGTCCTAGATGATGTGTAACCAAGGTTTATTTGACTGATTTTTGCGTAGTCCAATGAGGAGAAAGTGATCGAGGTTTGTATACACCCTGATATTTAAAAGTATGTGAGGTGATTTGATTAAAATTGAAACTTATTAAGCTATTGAGAGGCTTGATAGGTATGCTAAGTAAATGTTCCTCCTGCCTGGTGAACCTAGAACACCGGCTCGCAGTCTCAGAATAAGGGGTTGGTAATCTGGGATTGAGATGAGGATTATTTTCTTCACTAAAAATCATGGGAATCTTTGGAATTTTCTATTCTAGAGAGCTGTGGATTTTCAGTTTTTCAGTTACGTTCAAAATCAGTAGAGTTTTGCATACTTAGGAAAGGAGGAGTCAAGGTTAAGGATCAGCAATAATCTTGCTGATTGGTGGAGCAGGCTCGAAGAACAAAAAGATCTACTTCAGTGCAAAGTAAAATAAATTGCCAAAATAAAAACACAAGATGTATGAAACTTGTTAAACTTTGGCACATTGAAGTTCCATACTCTCCTTTGTCTAGTGTGATGGTGTAATCAAACATCAACAAACACAGTGCATCCAGTTTCTGACATACCGAGCCAGTAGTTTACTTCCATTATATCAATTCTTGATTCAGACACTGAATTAAATGCATCAGCTTTCATTGTGTTGTGCAGCAGTACACTTATAGCTCATGTCATTTAATTATTTGTTTATTCAACAAAATGCTTGAGTAAATTATTAAGCCCTGAAAATTTGTTTGAATGTCATGCATTGAATTCTAATTTATGCCAATCATAAAATCACAGAATGATATAGCTCATAAGGCGACTATTTGACCAATTGTGCCAACACCAGCCCTTTAAAGCTATCTCATTAATCCTGCTCCCGTCTTTTTGCTCCAAAGTCCTGTAGGTAAAATATTCCATTACTTAACCATATGACTTTTGAATGGTACCATTCAAATCTGTTTCCATCACACTTTCAGACTGTTACAAAAATTCCTTTGTTTCCTCTGGCTCATTCGCCAATCACCTTTACATTTTGGTAGTGCATGACATTTGTAGGCATTATGGTTGGGCACAGAAAGGGAATGAAACAAACGGAAAAATATGTTCTCAAGTATTTCCTTTGAATTTTAACACTAATTGGAAATATTGAACTTGTGACTTTCAGCAAAACAAAGCTGGAATGGACGAGCCTTTAGTTGATATTGAAGGATATCCACGAACAGATATTAACGTTTATGAAGTTCGAACAGCTCGACATAATATCATTTGTAAGTAATATTGATACATTTTGAAAATTTTGTAATGTATTAACATAGAAATAATAGTACTTCAAGCAGCAATGTTAATTTTTTTGTGCAATTCAAAAATGATTATCTAAAATTCTTAATTCTTCGAATAGACTAATTCAAATAAGAACCGTTGTGTATTCAGATTTGTCAACCTCATAGGTGATCTTTCCTGGTTTTCGATGAGGAAGGGAAGTGTAGGCAGTGAAAAGGAATAAATTTTGTTTAAATTATATTTTTGCACATTTTGCTTTCATCAAGTTGAGAGATGAGTGCTTAAAAATTGAATAGTTTTGAAACTTTGCCTCAGCAACAAAAGAAGCCCAGTTGTATGTTTCTTCACTTTACGTGAAAGTTTTTGGTCTTTGTTTTCCATCATCTGCCGTTGATGGCTCATCTGAAATAAGGAAATCCAAGAAATCCTTAAACTATGGATTAAGGGCTCTTGTGGTGCAGTGATTGTGTCCCACCTCTAAGCCAGGAGGCTCAGGCTCAGGTCCCACCTGCTCAGGAGGTGTGAAATGACATCTCTGAACAGGTATTATTGTGTCCAGTTATGTCTCTAGCCATATCTAAATATGCTGTGAATGTTTTGTGTTTTTGTAAGGTCTACAAAATGATCATAAAGCCTTAATGAAACAAATTGAGGAAGCACTCCATCAGCTGCATGCACGTGACCGGGAGAAGCATAGACTGGATGAGGCAGAAATGCATTCTGAAGCAATGGAACAGGAGAATAGTTTACCATCTGCTTTTGCCAAAGTAGACACTGTTAGTCCAGGCTCACCTGCCTATATTTCAGTAAGTACAAATCTGAGTAGGTAAATCTATATACTCCAAATAATTGCTAATACAATAGATGATACCTCTTAAACAAAATTATTTTCCATGCTAAATCTTTCTGAAGAACAAAGAAAAACCAAATGATGTTGCTTGTTGTATCTGAGATCTTTAAATTGAAGCAGTCATTGGGATACTTGCTTTCCTTTTAAGTACTTCACTATATTCTTGTCAGCTATATAAAGCAGATAAGTTCATTTAATAACTGAATGAAACCTTTAAATGCTATCCCATCTTTGCATTTGAGGACATATGTATTTTGCATGAAAATTATAATGCTTTCTTATTATGATGTTCAGAATTTTTCCCAAAATAGATAAACAGAAAATTCATTATCAAGTTGTCTTTGGGTCCATAAGGAGTTTTGAGGTCATAAGGTCTTTTTAAAAAAAGTTAGACCTTGAAGAACTGGGAGTCAGTACAATGAGATACCTGCAGGAAAAGAATATTGACATCTGGAAATAGCATAAGTTGAAGTTCTTACAGAGACTAGCCCGGAGAGCATTAGAATACTCACACCTAGAGCTGACAAAGGCATTGATGAGAGTTTCAGCAGTTGATTGGTTGAGGCAGGAATGCTGGTGGGTGAAAGGTAGGTGACGTTACTGAGGTGGAAGTAGGCAGTCTTTGTGACAGAGTAAATATGGGGTCAAAATTTGGCATCAAGTTGATGGCAAACCTGTGAATAGTCCTACTTGTCCTGAAGCAGTGAGTGATGAAGGTAGTGATAATTGTGGAGCAAGAGTTGAAGTGGGAACCTTAGATGGTGGCTTTGGTCTCCCAATTTTTAACTGCCAGATGTGTGGATCATTCAAGACTGGATGTTGGAAAAGCAGCCAGATCGCTCAGAGGTGATGGAAATATTCAGATTGGTGATGGAGACACCGACCTAGATTTTTAAAAATTTGCTCACAGAATGACCTTTATTGGCCATGCCCGTTGGATGTGAAAGGTGGCGGTGAGCTCCATTCATAGTACTGCTGTGGGCCAAAGGGAAGCAATATAGAGCAGTATGTATACCATGATGCTGTTAAGAGTGGAGTTCCAGGATTTTCACCCAGTGACATTGAAGGCAATGTTGTTCCAACTGAGAATAATATGTGGTTTAGAGAGGAACTTGCTGGTGATGATATAACATTAGAACTGCTGCTTTTTATCTCTCTAGGTAATAGGGGTTGTGGATCTGCAAAGTACTGTCAAAGAAGCCATGCAGAGTTGCTGCAGTGCACCTTGTAGGTGGTATGCACTGTTTCCACTGTACATCAGTGGTGGAGGAAGTGAAGACTAAAGATGGTGAATAGGATCACAATCAAGCAATCTGTTGTCTTTAAATCACTTTTAGTTTTTTTGAGTGTTATGGAAGCTGAACACATCAAGGCAAATGTAGAGAATTCATTGCATCGCATTCTGACTTGTGCCTTGTGCGTCAGGGTTTGGGACACCACGTGGGGTCACAAACTGAAATTTTGGGATCCTGACTGCGAGGCAGCAATGGCTGCCATAGATTCTGATCAAGTTATAACTTGATGTACTTCAACAGGCTTCCACACTCACACTGACCTATTCTCGTCCCATTTATCTCTGTCCCTCACCCACATTTCACTATCCACCTCCACTCATTCCAGCCTGTTGTACCTGTTGCACTCTTCTCCATTCCAAGCTTGTTCTTTTCGATTACACTGACGAGTCATAGTGATTTTCAAATCTCAAAGTCTTTTCATGGTGGGAAAATGTGTGGGAAGCACTGCTAGTGGACAGATTTTAGCGATTCAGGATGTGAGTATCTTGCCACAGAATTTCCAGCCCCTAACCAGCTTTTGTAAGACAGTATTAGTAGAGCTGTTCCAGTTCAATTTGTGGTTAATAATAACTCCAGGATATTAATTGCAGAACAGGGAATAGGGAGATACTGTCAAAGGGAAGCAATATAGAGCAGTATGTATACCATGATGCTGTTAAGAGTGGAGTTCCAGGATTTTCACCCAGTGACATTGAAGGCAATGTTGTTCCAACTGAGAATAATATGTGGTTTAGAGAGGAACTTGCTGGTGATGATATAACATTAGAACTGCTGCTTTTTATCTCTCTAGGTAATAGGGGTTGTGGATCTGCAAAGTACTGTCAAAGAAGCCATGCAGAGTTGCTGCAGTGCAGTGCACCCTTTGATACGCAATGATACTGTCGCAGATGGTTATTGCCTGCCAGTAATCAGCCCAAGCCTGGATATTTCCCATGTCTTGCTGCATATGGATATGGACTGCTTCAGTATCTGAGGCATTAGGAATGGTGCTGATCGTTCTACAATCATCAGTGAACTTCTGACCTTATGATCATAGATTATTGATGAAACAGCTGAAGATTGTTGTGCGAGGACACTATTTGAGGAATTCCTGCATTGATATTCTGGGGCTGGGATGATTGACTTCCAGTAACACAACCACCTTCGTTTTTGGTGGGTGTGACTCTAACTGATTTCCAGTTTCTCTAGGACTCCTTGACGTCACATTCAGTCAAATGCTGCCTTGATATCAAAGACAGTCACTCTCACCTCACCTCATAAATTCCCCTCTTTTGTTCACGTTCGGACCAAGGCTACAATGAGCTCATAGGGGCTGGATAGTTCTAGTGAAACCAAAACTTAGCATCAGTGAGCAGGTCATTGCTGAGTAAATGCTGCTTGATAGTAATGTCCCCTTGACATCCCTGGATTTCAGCAACATATAAGTGGAAACTGACTTCTTGGGCTGAATTTTCCAATTTTTTAGCTAAATGTCATTTTCGAGGAGATTATTGGGGGGTTTCCGCCATGGCCTATGGTGACTCTTCTCATGCAACCTCCCACTGCTCGCCTCACTATGTCTTCAGGCTTCATAGCACCCTTCTGATTCAATCATGTGACAGTGCTTGCACCTTCTAGTTTGTCACTTGGCCCTGGGAGAATTATAAATGGGTGTAAACGATGTGAAATTAGCCAATAATGAGATGCAGTTTCATGAAAATAAAGTGGTTGCTGCTTACCAGTGATATTTTCATCAAACTATTGAAACTTTGAGGGGAGAAATGTACATTTCTTTTCTCAATGTTGAGGATTGGGGATATTTTGTTCTCACTGTATTCTCCAAATTTCTTGCTATTGTCCGTGCTGCTCAAGGGCTGAGAAAGTTGTCCTACATTTTTGAATGATGTTGGCAAGGCGGAATATGTAAGATGACCAACAGCAGAAAACAAAGAAAAAGAACAGGAATCTATCAATCACCCTCTCTGCTCCTATGATGCTGCTTGGCCTGCTGTGTTCATCCAGCCCTGCACCTTGTTGTCTCGGATTCTCCAGCATCTGCAGTTCCTACTATCTCAGGAATCTATCAATCTTTCCTTAACACTCAGCTTGAGATTCAGTGAAAGTAATATCCTCTGAACATGCTGGGGTTTCTGTTGACCAGAAACTGAACTGGGCCAGCTATATAACTACTGTCATACTGTCATTCTGTCATAAATACTGTCAGGTTTGAAGTTGGGAATTCTGCAATGAGTAACGCACTACCTAACTCCCAAAATCTGTTCACCATCTAGAACACAATTCACAATTCATGGGTGTGTTGGAATACTCTCCACTTGCCTGGATGAGTGCATCTCCAACAACGCTCGAGCTCAACACCAATGGTAATGAATGACGGTGAAAGTCAACAACTAGCTCCATTTTAAATATTTTGAGGGATCAAATCATCTTTGTAAAATAAATTACAATACTTCTTGAAAAATAAGGCAATTTTATACAGGCAAACTGTTTCTCTTTTCTTCTAGGGTTTGCAAGTTGGTGATGAAATTATAGAATTTGGTTCTGTAAATACACAAAACTTTCAAAACTTGCAAAATATTGCCACAGTGGTGCAGCGCAGTGAAGGGGTGAGTGCTGTACTTGTGGAAAACACTATGCGTTTTTGATTACATTTGACTGTATTCTGAAGAAAGCTTAATGTTCAAATTAGTTTTTCTTGAACTTATTGCTGTATCTTAACCA